CATTCCATTTTTCTTCTTTTTTTTTTAATGACAGCCGTGAAATTTTACCGGGACCATTAATTGTCTTACTTTCTCGCTGGAATTAGATAGAATCTTTCTAACTGCTGGCAATCATACTTCGAGCGCGAGAAAATTAAAAAATTATTACCCGTTGGAAACGAGAAATTCAGCGGTTCCGACAACGGCTGTTAGCTTGTTCATGTTTGAATAAAATCGTAAAGTGGCGCGATCGTTCTGAGTCAACTGGGGAACGCGTACAGCAGCCCGACAGAAAGGTTCGCTCGTGTGTTATTTCGTTACAGGTGTTGCGTGCCGGAAAAATGTGTAACCACGGGCTCTAATCGCTGAACCGAGTGGGCGGACGCGAGAGGTTCGCGAACGCACCTGTATCGATTCCGAGGCGTGTTGAGTAAGTCTGGAGCCGCGTTATCGCGATTAGAATAATAAGAGAATCGCGTGACGTTTGACAAACGGCCGCGGATTTCGTCGAACGCCGCTCGGATCGACGTTCCAGCAGCGGCGCTCTGGAAGCGAGTTATAATCGAGAGCCCGCCGGTGTTCATTAAAAGTTTCGCCCGCGTATCCAGTATCTCGTTAAATTCCCATGCTACCTGGAAAAGCGCACGTGAATTTTCTAACCCCATCATCCGACCATGTTTACGAACACCGTGTGGGACGGGGAAACTTTTTTAATGAATCTCGCTGGAGGAAACGCGTTCCTCGCGGGAAATCGTTAATGGAAAGTTTGATAATTCATTTATTTAACGAATCACCGTCGCCGGTGGCATTTCGATGATTAGATTCGACAAATCATAGGCTCTGTCCAATCCTGACTGCAATTAGAAGTGTTTACCTCTAACGATCGTAACAGAATTTTTATTGTACATTTTACCATTGGTCGAAGTGATTTTCACATGACTCCACGCACTTCTCTCAACCAATTTCATTATATACCCTTTAGTTAATTACAATTATATCAAATGCAATTGTAAGACGGCAACAATACAATCGGTGAGATCGGAAATACCAGTCAGCTTCGTTCAACGGGTCAGGACATCAACGAGAGGACATTTACATTCAATTATACATTCTCATCCCTGAAAACTGGCTCACACATTTCCCGATGTCGCCGATCCGAGCGACCGTCACGGAAACCAGAATTCCTTGCTCCATTTCAAATGAAGATAATCGTTCCCCACGCAACGGTTCCCCTCCCAATAGAGGGCTACCGACTAACAGTCTTCCTCGCTCCTGTTCAGTTATTCGCCTATTTGTATATATACCGCAAGAAAGCCTCGCCAATAAGTCCACTGGCAGATCCCAGACGAAACGCCCCCCCTTAATCTCTTTTCCTTATTCCGTCCTCCTTCCGCAACATTTTATGCCGCTTCGCAACCAGTGAAACGTCGTCAGGAACGTGTAACCATGTTGCATTTCAACTTCGATATGCATCAACCTTAATACATCACTATATTTCGCACCGAGCCGCGCAGCTCTTAGCGTTGCAACTACGCTTCCGCCGCCCAGCCGTGGAAATCGAAGGAAAATGTCGCGGGTCAAGGAAAAGTCCCGTTTCCCGCGGAGTGTGTGCAACGCGACGCGACGGTGGTTCCGCGTGGATCGCGCGCGAATTGTTTGCCCTGGCGGTAATTGCGCGTGTCAACACGCGCGTTCCCACGCGCGTGCCGGCTCGACCGAAGATTTCCCAGCGTCCCCGGAACACCCAGAGCGATTCCGTGAATTATTATCCGCGGAGCCGTGATTCGTCGTCGTCGCCGGGTTTCACGACTGAGAATGGAAGCGGCGGCGGCGGCGGCGGCGGCGGCGTCACGCACACGATCTTGAACTCTCGCGCGTACGCGGTTTGACTTTTCAGGACCGCGCGAACCCAACACTGACACCGAATTCCACTTACGTCTCACTTCCTTTCGAAAGTCGCGAATTCCATCGCGGTGCCGAGCAGCAGCGAGTCAGTCGCGCCGTCCGTCCGTCCGTCTCGCAGGCCCTGAACCCGCGTTCCCAATGCCGCGACGCGACGCGACGCGGAAATTTCTGATTATTCCCTCGCGGCTGACACACATACCGCGCTCGGATCGGCCGATCCGCGGACTGAATTCGAAGGAAAACGCTCGCGGAATTCCGCGCGAGCGCGGGTTTCGGGACGAACGAACCCGAGCCGACCGAATGGGAGCAGCATTAATGATCCTGAAAGAATCCCACCGCGAGATGATCAACCCGATGATCGACGTTTCTGGGTTTACGGCGGGACGTGCGTCACAGGCCTCGGCCACCACTTTCACGGTTTCGTTTCTATGGTGGCCGTGCACTATTGTACGCGGCTGCCGAGATTTACGATAAAATACATTTGCATCGGATTCTGTTTGTCTCTTTGTATCGAATTAGATTTTCTTCGAGGCGAATCGAGGCTTTAGTGTTTGATAATAGCTGTTGACGTGAGAATTGAATCGAAGTGTTTTAGAGCTGCTGTAATTTTTATGGTATTATTTTAGACATTTTCCATCGCATAGAAAATGTATTCATCAGGATCGAGGAGCGCGAGTTCAATTTCATCCCGCTGAATAAGAGCGGAAAGTTCATCTGCTCGACGAATTGGACTTTTTCCATGCCGCGGAAATGGAAAAGTTAAAGGTCACGCGTTCTGGTTCGGTTTCATTACTCCGGGGCATTGGTGCAATTGTTAATCGAGGAAGACGAGCGGACTCGTTACCTTTCTTGCGTCTTTGAATATCCTCGCCGTTTCACGGTACACCACTTATCGTTTCTTGCCGATTCGAGGGAGTTGTCCGATTAAAAAGGAAAACTGCGCGAGGCTAGACGGTGCGCGGGTTATCGAGAGGCACGCTCCGTTACGCAATGTAATTGTTACCTGCAGCCTGGGCGACGTAAGAGTGCGAAATGACGGACGTCGAAGAAAGGATGACGAGGAGTAATTGGACACTCTTCCCGGCAGCCATCTGAAACAAAAAAATAACAGAGATATTGTTCGCCGGTGGAAATTGTCGGTCGCGCGAACGCCCGCCGGGTAATTAGCCTACATTTCGCGGCAGCGATTTGAATGAACGGAGGCTGGAACGTTGCTCGACGTTACTTTTACAGCGACCGCCGGCATTCTGCGGCGAGGAGAATGGCGAGTACATTAATCGTCCTTTCAAATCTGCTCATATTATATGCGCCATGTTCGGTAACGGTACAGGAATATCTCGGCTCCGCGCCACGGGGATTCAATTACAAATCAATTCTTTGTGCCGCCGCCAGGTGATCCAGACGAGGAATCGTTGAAAAGGAAAGAGGAAAATTCCTCGTTGATTGTACAGAGAAATCACGGTAATAGGAACAACCCTGGTATCGAATTATTCCTCAAGCTTCAACGAACGAAACACACTATCTACCAATCGAAAAACGAATCCTCAATTTTTCCCTAAACCTAGCAATCTACACTCATCGATAATCTACAATAAAACGTGTAAACTTCTCGGATATGATCTAGCTCTGGAAATAGTCTCCTAGAAACAAGATAAACTATCGTTACAGCTGATCTGCGTCGTTACATCGGTGTTAAGCAGCTTCATCAATTTTTCTTCGATCGAAATCTGGTTTCACGGGTAAATATTCGCGTGAAAACGAGATGCGCGAGTCCATTAATTAACCGGCTCCCACGTAGACTAGGGGGGGAAGAGATGCTAAGCGCGATTCGAGGAATCGATCGAGGTCCACCTGCGCGTTTCACCGGTCCCGCGGCTCCGGCGTGATTATCTCACGATACCTGGCGAGATTTACGCGGTCGCGCGCACGTGTGCCCGTCGAAGGTGAGCACACGCTACACACGGTGTCCCTACGCGCACCGAAATCCCGTTACCAGCCAGTCCAGAGGCGTTCCACGGATTCGCCGGCTCCGCGATGCTAAACAGAGGAGCGAGAACGATGACGGCGTGGAACGACCGGGCAACATTAACCCGCGGGGAAGCCGGCCGGCCGTGAGAAAGACGAAGAGAGCGAGTGGCTGATCAGCGTTGCTTCACGAAGACACCGGTAACCCAGTTACCAATTCCCCCGTCGCCGCTTCTATCCTCCCCCGTTCCCCTGACCTTCTTAAGAATGAGCTGCTCGAATCATCCTCTAACCATCAACGAATCAATCCTTCGAACGTGCTTCCCTTTCTTGCCGCCGGTGTGATTAGCGACGGAGTTACATTTTCTCTGTGGCTCTCCTTATTCGATTGAACGTAATTGCGTGATTAAGCCTATTAAGCGAATTCTTTCGTAGAGACTTTTCAGACATTTTCCATGAGTTCCTTGGGAATTGGTAGATCTTCTCTTTCCGTTGCTCGATGAAATTTACAAAGGAGAGGTTGATTGGAAAAGGTGGCTTGATATTCGAAGGAACGGTTGTTATTTAATCTCGTTCACTTAGAGGTTGCTCGGCACTGTTCAGCGAGCACGTTAAAACTGACTCGAGACTGACTGTCCATTATCTGGTGTTTGCTAAACAATTCACGGATTTTTTCACGGGCTCGCGTACTTGAGCGACTCGTTCTCTCCGGAGCTCGTCACAGAATCCACGGGCCGATGCAGGTACCGTTACCGTTAATTATCAATTCCTCGTTCGCCGTGCGTTTTTCCTCTTCTCCTTTCTCGTTCGGTAGCAAAACGCTATTACTCGCACGCAACGGGCGACGCTACACGCGCGTCGGCCGCGACAGTTCAATGGAGCAGTAAAAATGAAATTCGCTTTAAAATCGTTCATCGTTGCTGGTGTCACGCGAACGCCATAGAAAGTCCATTGTTCCCGGCGGTAATAACGACGGATTGTTACGGCGAACATATCCGTGACCACGGCGGACGAGGTAAAAGGAAAACGAGCGAATAAAATAAATCTACTGTTACAGCATCGTTTCACGGCGTCGTTCGATCTGTCGTTAACACGCCAGCAATCTGTCTATTAATCGGTTATTAACAAAACAAACGTCCAGACCCGCGACGATCGAGATTCCAACACTCGCGCGGACGGCCGACCGTATCTGTTTATCTGTTACACGGTCAGAAGTTAATTAAACTCCCTTGTTCCGTTCGATGGGTGAATCATCGATAAGAGGATCGTGGGAGCGTCGCTCCGTTGATAATGCGCCGGCCGTCCTTCCCTTTCGTTCGGTTGTCATTTCGCGCGCGATACGAGGCGGGCCGCACACGCGCGAACACGCGGAAGTCACTTTCCTTCGGACCGTGTATTCCGTTCCTCTCTTTCCTCCTCTCTTTCCCCTTTTTCCTCCTCCCTTTCCCTCTTTACCACCGCGGCATTCGGTTTCAGGCAGCTCCGATCGCGACAAAAACCGAGCCGGCTGAAGACGATCGTAATTATCGCGAACGATCCGCTCGTTGCTCGCGGAATGGATGGCAGTTACTACGCGGAGGAAGTCACGGCCGGCGCGGTAATAGCTCTAATGAGACGGCTGCTTGCCACTGTTCCATCTTGAGCCAAATTCTGAAACGACCCTTCGGTGAGTTCCATCGCTTTTTCCGTCGCAGCCTCCGCCGAAGAGAAATTGCGCGTCGAATCTCGATGAACGAACTCAGGGGTTAATTCGATGATTAATTTACTGGAATATCTTCCAGGTGGATTTACATTGGGAATTGACGCTGTCGTGTTCTGACGATTCGACGCGTTGACTGTCACGAGAATTCGGAGTGCTTTGTATATTACATATTCTTTTGTAACATCGATAATAGTAGAATTAATTAATCATGGTTTGATACCGTAGTTCTTGAGTTGTAGTATCATCTACTTGGGTGACTAGATATTTTCATTCGATATCAGGCTTTTTGTTGTAATTGTTCTTAAGCAATTTCAGAGCTCCGGCGACCATCGCGATCGATGCGTTGAAAGTTTGATAGACGCGTGGGTGGAGCGCTACAGTTTTTCGGATAATCGGTTCCGAGGCAACGGATAGACGGCTCTCTTGGTGGAATTTCACGGGGATAGGAGCACGCAAACGCGCTTCCGCGGATAAATCTAAAAGGTAAAACGGGTTCCGCGTATGAAAGCGCGGATAAAGCGAAACACTGTAGTAATAAATTGAAACTGAAGCTCGAGGGAGGTTTCCAGCCGGTCGGCGTGCACGCGGACCCCGGTTACCCGTTATTCGACGCGAATTTTACGTGTTTCCTCTAAAACCGTTCGCGGTACGTGTCGGTAGTTAAAGGCCGCGGATAACCGGACGCTTGTAAACGAACGGCGAGAGCGGTATTTACGGGACAGAATTCCGAAAATTGCGAGGAAATGTCTGACGTAAATCCGAGGAACGCCGGAGAGGCATGCCAGCGAGATTGAACGCTGATAGAGAGATAGAATTTATCGATGAATCGTTTCATTAAGCAGAAAGAATGGAAGCCTTTTCTGTTATCTATTCGAGCCGGGAGTATATAGCGCGCCGCAACAATGGCGGAGCCTCTCGAGCCGCGTCTCCCGTGAGTATTCGATGAATCGCCGCGTCTTCGAATGACGCAGCTGTAACCTCGCGCATTCTTCTCCTGTTCGACGATTCTTGGACTGCAGATGTTACGCATTGACGAAATTCCTTCGAATTCTAATTACTATTCGATTGAAATCCCCAACGAAGGAACGAAACGTCTGCTCGACTCTTTTAACCCCTTGCTATAACGTTTGAACCTCGCGCAGAAGATTCTAAATAGAACTAAACGAACAGAAATTTTACTAACTTCCTGTGGATTCCAATGAAATATTATTCTCCTCTTATCAATTCACACTTCGTTTCTCAATAAATTATTCACAACACAGTTCATCGATCACACTTAAGAAACGAACCCGAATGCATTGATTAATATCGAACCCCTACATGAATATCCACAAACACCAATTTTCAAAATCGAAACCATAGAAAGAAAATATCTATCAACACGTTAGAACACTCAGCTCTATCTAATCTACCAAAAGAAGCATCGAACTTCCAAGACGTAACATCGACCACGATCAAACATCGATCTCAAACTCAACGATCTCATTCGTCGAGCCCATGCTTCAGCGTCGCGCCGCTCAAGCAGATCCGCGGAGTTTCCTCGTGTCCGTCCGTCCAGTTCCGCGGACAATGCATCGCAGAAGCGGAAAGGAATTCCGTGCAATATTTAACGGGTGGTCTGATGCGTTCGGAAAGGGGACACCGTGTATGCTCACGAGGGGCCCGGACACGGTCACGATCTCGGTGCCCGTGGCTCGCGCGCCGGGAGGAAAGAGTCAAAGAGTAGAGACTGCCTCGAAAATTCTTCCGCGTTCATTGGCCGTCCGTCAGTGCACGAGGGGACCTTTGTGCAGGTACATACAGGTGCGTGAAACACACCGGCACAGGATCCTGCGGCGCGCGCGCGCGCGATCACGCACGCACGCACGCACGCACGCTTTGCACACGCGGAGCTGCGAGAGAAAGCTTCGGTTCGTCTCCTCTTCGTTATTGGATCTGGGTGACCCGATTGGCTTGGCCTCGCCGGCCAACCGAGAGACGCCGGGTACCTCGTCATCGTTATCGTCGTCGGTTGTTCCCCAATTTATCCTCGGTCTTCGAACCGCGATCCGACCAAGATCAAGGTTTACTTTTATAATCGTCCGCGGTCGAGGAGAAGCCGTGATGCTCCTTTGTCCGACCGATTGATCCTAGGATTAGATCCACTCAGCGAGCTTCCCTTCGAACGTTTTCTTCCTCGATTCTTCTGTTTCGCCATTGTTCTCTGTATAAATCTTTCAAAAGGGGATAGAGATAGTAGCTACGTTTCGGAAGATGGTATGCGCGATGAATAAGCGTTAACCAATCTGGAATTTAAATGGATTCGAAATTAAAGTTGAAAGTCTTCGTTGGACCTGTGGAAGTCGAAGGGTTTAAGGCTCGAGAAGGTTCTCCGGTGGATCTGGTAGTTTACGGGCAGCACGTGTGTTCTCTCGGTTGACCGAT